ACTGTGCGGCGTATCACGTACGTGTCATATCTACTGTGCCTCGTAATCTGACAGATATCGGCAGGCGGATTAAGCAATCAATTGTTTCAATTACCTATTCTTTTCAGCCTGGCAGGCGAATTTATAACCGCAATTAGGCTTTTGGAGATGTTTTAAGAAGGACGCTTCTGCCCATCCCCCCATCATTAATTTGCTTTAGTCGCCTCTTACGACACCCACGGGAAAGGAAGGAGTGGCCTATTCTATGCCGGAGCGTACGGACTATATTTATCACAGGAACTCAAATACCTATATTACTGACATATTTTGTCATTTGTTAAAATTAGAAAATTGTTTAAGTTTTAAACATTTTCTAAGAAGTGGTTATTCAGCTCTCACTACGACTGCTCAATGATGTTCGCTGCTCGCATCAATTTTAATAATACACAATTCTTTATATCAATAAAGGTTTACTTCCGGATTTCACATCGAATGTCAAATGTCAAAATGGTATAATATTATATTAATATATTAATATATATTAATTTATAGACTTTTATTTTATTATATTTATTTTATAGTCTTTAAGTGAAAATAGCACGAGGCCATCCATGTAGCGTTAAAAGAAATCCTTAATAATATTATAAATTTGAAAGTAAGTTTGTTTGTTTATTACCTCTCAACCCATCGTTACGAAAGACGAAGCCGCGGCTCCATGTATTCATTTGGCAATAGATATTTATGCATGTAGGTATCTAAATAACTCGTACAGTAAGTGCTACTCAAACGTACGCACGCTAGGTTACGAACACATCTAAGGTGACTGACTATTCGCCGATTGTCTTAACTCGCTCCCTATTACTTTGCTTATGTATAGCGTTATCGTAACTTGATTATCTAAAAAACTGGTCGACATCTACCTTATGATCGGCATGTATTAAATCATAGAATTAGTTATGGTATTTATGAATATACATTTATATACCTATGCCGAGTTATATAACCGGTGTCAGTGACCCCTGTACGCGCGGTGACGTGCTCTCGTGGTCCTGTCGTCTCGCTACTCCGCACCCACTGGTGACGCGTGGCTACCTGCTACTATCCACCTCGAACAGAGCACATTTCATTTTAATCACATAATTATTTAATGCCAAAAAAGGCTACTCTTGCTAATACTAATACATTTTATAGTTGCACTTTTTATTCAATATTAGACACGTTTATATTATTTTGCTAATTTTACTAAATGAAAAAAATACATGTGTAACATTCTATTTTAGTTTGTGAGGTTGGCCTACGAAAGATTATATTAATATTTATATTATTTATATCAAAAAAATGTAAGGGATGTCGCCTGTGCAGTGAATGTTTCCATAATGTACCGCTGACCGACGCGCGCGGTGCCGCGCTCCGGCCCGTAGCGTCACATTCAAAGTCGTAACAACCATTCAGTTTACTTCACGGCTTTTAAAATAGCCGCTTGGTACATTTACAAATAGCTACGTCAATCGTGTCCACCACGTACCCTTACCATTCTTTCATTTTCTCTCTGACGGCTCCATCAGTAGCACTAATCAATTATCGTTTATTTTACAAAAGTGATACATTTACGCCATTGTCTATGAAGGCTCTAACAACTAAATTTCACGAGTTATTGTGCTACATATGAAATATGCGGCGAGGATGACTAACAACTTTGACAAACAAATAAAGTCATAAGAACATTCTCAAGTAGCTGAATAAGTACAGTTGGGAACAAAACGCGGCGACCAATATCTTTAGATGTCCTATACTAATGTGTAGTTTGGAGCTCCTGCTGCGTTCAGTCGGCGGTGTGGCTGATCTCGTCCAGTGACTTATGTAGTTATGTATGCAACAGTTGCACAGACTTCAATCTACATGCAAAATGAGTGTGCCGCTGCCAAATTACGTGCTGCGACGACGCCACGTTACAATTTAATGAATATCTTCGAAAAAGATGCTCGTACTTTGCATTTGCTAATCTTCTAAACATTTGATTCGTTACCTACTTCCTGAAGAAGGAGGTACGTTCCTTTTTTTTTAATGGGCGAAAATGCAATGGTAACCCCGCCTGCGCTAATGGTATACGCTGGCAGGGCACCAGTGGAGGGTGATCGATGAGAATGAAAACAGGCCACTTAGCTCATCATGATGATTTCATCAGGAATTAATCATGATAATTTCCAAGGAGAACCGCGTGGAGGTACGTGCATATGTTACGCAATAATAATTGTATTGTCATTATTATATTCAATGATCTAAGTCACAAATTTTGGCACTTTTTGAAAATTATCACGGACAATTTCTTTAATGAGTGAAAATGCAAGTGACTCTGCCTGCGCTTTCGGCATATGCAGGCTGGGTACCAGTGAGGGGTGATAGGCTAGAGTGAAGCAGGTCAGTAGGCTCAAGGTGACGATTTCGACCAATATTAATTAACCATAACGATATTCATGGGGAGACGCGTGGAGGTCGGTCAAGGTCGAGGGTATAATGTTAGCAATGGGGCAGTCAGACCCGTACTACCAATCCCTTTTCCTCCCAGCACGTGCAGCTGTGCGTGTGCATCGATTTTGTAATCTCAACGGTGTCGTTCCACATATGATGGTGAGCCGGCCCGGTGGTGTCTGGTGCGTAGTGCGGCGACGTGATGGCGACGCCGCGACGTGCGTGCGCACACACGAGGCTGCCACCATTCACCACCATTAATTATTTCATTGTGGTCTCGAAGTCGCTCAATGGATAACAAATTGTCAGTGCTCACCAATAATGATCTTCAACTATATTTGGAAGCCGTCATCAATAATAGCAAAGCAAACTAATCGAGCCTCTGTTAACGGACAACAACTCACGTCGGTAACTAGAACATTACATACTATTTCAACAATATAATATAGAGGAGCAATATAAGGCATAGTTTCAATTTCCAATCGGCTTCAAATGAGAGTTGTTCTTAAATTTCTTTAATTGATTGCCTATCAACCATAGCAATAAACAAGCAAACAAAAAATACATTATTATCTACGTCAGAAATCATTAACAATTTAATTTGCAGGGACATACGTGCGGTGACTTCAGGCCCCTTGTGTGGCTAATAATAATAAAAACAGTCAACGAAAGAAGTTCGAGGCTCAGAGCAATCCTTTGTTAGCTGTTTTAAACTATTTTATCTTGCAAATTTTCAATGTTTTAGATATTGGAAATTTGGGTATTTTTTTTTAAGAATTCGAATATTATTCTAAAAATTCAAAAGAAAAATATAAAGTAACAAATAAGTATATTTCTTTATAAATACAGTATTTTCTTATATGGGGGAACTCGACTGACATCTTAGAGAACAAGGTGGAGAGTTTGAGCGTGTTCTGGTAGGTTCTCGTTAACTCAATTGTTAATTGAAAGGAGAAATATGATAGAAGCAGTGAAAAATAAGCCTCTTGACTTCCAAAGGCGATGGTGTTCACGAAATTACCCAAAATACGTGGCGGTAGAGTGATCGCACTAAACATAACAAAATGTCTATGTGTTAAGAAATCCTGGAGCATGCTATCCCGGGACTAAAAAATATACTAAATAATTCAAGTTTCAAATTTAAAAAGTATTATTTAATGTGAATACGTAAATTAATATCGTCTTAATAGACTAAACTATCAATAGACTCGACGTAGGGCAGTTTATTTAATCCACGACATTTCTCTTACTTAGAAATTGTTTATAGCCGTCAGAACTTGTAAACGAAGAGTCCGATCTGAATGATTTAAAGTGGTATTTACACGTACATAATCAGTCTTTATTATCAAACCATTGAAATGGACAAGGATAAATATCATAATACAAATATCACCACTATTCGATTTCACGCGTACTTGAACTTAATAATTTAAACTAAAACCGTTATTGTGGCTTAACTACTCGTACAATAGTTAGCCATACACCTCTGCGGACGTTTTGTGAGTAATCTTGAGTACTATTAATATATAGAATACTATTTTACATATCGTCAACAGTTTTTACAGAGCACGCTGCATTCTCCTGGAACAACCTCCCGCCACCGTTGCTAAATTTTATTTTTTACACAGCTTTAAATGGCAAACAAGCTGACGGTCCACCTAATGGAAAGTGGTAACCGTCGCCTATAGACATGAGCAGTACCATGGACATAACAGAGTATACTGTTTCGCCCATGATACCCCCCATGCGTTGCCATTCCTGAGGACTCAGGTGTTATTCCTCCGTACCCAGTAAATTCACGCCATATCCCACCCTTCAAACCGAAACACAGCCATGCAAACACAACTACTTCACGGTTGAAACACGAATGGGACAGAGGTACCCAAGCAATTGACTTTTGTACAAAGTCTTCCTCTGGTACAAGAAATACTCTGAAACATTATAAAGAATATTTACTAAACAAATAAAAACCTAATAATTACTTATCTTTCTGTCTGCCACAGTCAGCGGGGCTGGGGATTGTTGGATGTTCAATGGGGCGGAGGTGACCTACATGACTATATAGGATTTCGTTATATTAATTCATTGGTCTGCAAGCGATCTCATTTGTATATATTAATATTTTTTTTACTTTTTTACTATTGTCTTATGTGTATTGTTTTTTATGTGTATTGTTTTTTGGTTATTGATTTGAAACTATAAAATTCACCGTAGTTGCCTGTAAAGTCTAAGTTTAAATCATAACAAACAAACAGAAAATTAAATCTTTCCCTTTATAATATTAGTTTAAATTCACGCCAAGTAAAAAGTATAAAATAATGAGAACGAAATCAATTGATCGGGTCTCCGCCGGCGAGGACGAAGAACCCTCGCGACACACGGTCCGCGCGCGATCAGGTTTGCGCCCGAGCGCACAACAACCGCTTCGTACTCCCACCCATCCAGACGTACCGACCCTTTGCCGTCCCTTCACAGGGGTCGAAGTGCGGTGGCCTAAGCCGAGGCCGAGCCACTCTGGCGCCCTTAGGCGTACACCGCAGTCCATAAGTAAGAGTCGACACTTTTGTCGCTCCCCTCTTCTTGGAGTGCCGTCTGCACTCGCCCCTGCATACGCGTCCGGTGAAGCTGTAAAAGCCATCCACGGCCAACAGCAAACACATTAAAAAAAAAAATTTGGACGGGGCCAATAATGAAGTGTGCGGTCTATGTACTTGTTACATACTCGCACACGATTATTCCGTGCATCTGATAGGCGTGTCATACATTTGGGAAGCATTTCATTTCATACATGACAATACGAATTTGTCATGCACGAGCAGCGTGTTTGTCGCACCGCACGCCGCCGCGCCGCCACCATGATCGTATTGGTGAATGACGGCACACTGCCACTGTCACTGTCGCTGTGTTCGAGGAATCATAAATTGAACACTACGGGAAACCATGACGGTGGTCGCCTCCTCCGTCATACTAGGGAACAAGTGCGCTTTGTACGATCTGATTAGTTCAAGATCAGTTTTTAATTGTTGTTACCAGTACCGATGATGATTGATTAACGGTACCGAAATATTTTATGCACGGTTTTGTCGGATACTAGAATTATTTGGCCATATAAATACAAATGTTAGTGGATTTCGTGAAAATAAAACATTGTTTGTTTATTATCTAGTTTGTTGATCAAATATATTTACAAGTATGTTGCTTTACGCTCGGTCATAATTATAATGTTATACTGATGCCACTTGCAGACTACGTAAAACTCGCCGAGTACGTAGCGTACACTTGGCACTCGGCCGGATTGTCTATCTACTGTCATTATGCACAGCTTACGTTACAATATGTAACGAGACAGTTAAACAATAGGTAATGTATAATAATAAGAAGCAGAGAACAATATTCATGTTTCTACAACATGTTCCGAGGTGAATTTTCGAGATATGTATTTAGATTAGATACCGCCATTGATTGTGCATGTGCCGTGAAGTTCGGCTCGAACGCTATGATAGCTGCTCGTATCTACAGGTAATGTAGAAACAGTTCACACGTGGCTGGCTGCCTGTAGGCACGACTACGACGACGCAGTGGGACACTTTCTAAAGGTCGTGCGCTGGCGCTATTGATATGTGATTATGTATGTAGTTGATATCGGCGGTGGCTGCTCTTCGCTTATTAGTAATTAATTGTATTTATATGATTCATTATTACTAAATTACATACAATCAATATTGAATTGCACTTCATTGACTTGTCACAATAATAAGTGTGTGTTTCAATTTATTGTTTATTAATATTTATATATTTATTGCCTATTTAATAGCACATTTTATTGGTATACAATATGTCGGCTGTTATTTAAGGCGCACATGATATATTACTATATTAGTTCAGTTTAGATAACTTTATTGACCAACATAAAATAAGGTACAAAAAAAGATGCACTTAATGCTAGTAGCATTCTCTACCAGACAACCTTTGGGATGAACAGTGAATCATGAACGCGGTACTTCATTATTGGAATAGGTAAAAATAACTAATAATGTCTACTTATACAAAATAAATAATACATACATACATAAATATAAAGGAATATATATATAAAAGACGATCATTAACTACGTACTATTGTTATACTAGTACATAAGGTTCACGACACAGACAACTATATACGAGTACATCGCTAGGAAAGTCATAACTGGAATGATATTTCTATGACACTTAGTAAACGGCCTTCGTTCTCGAGTATGACGACTGAGCCAGTGATTATTGCATTCAAACGTATTTCAGGGCTCGTGAACTCCGCATGTGGACTCGATGCAGAGCAGTGCGCATGACTGTATCAGGAGCCAGCGCATTACCATATAGCGCGGGTGCTCGCTCATGAAGTGCCTCCCGCACTACTACAGCATGCGTGCGTCATATTAGTCAGCCATCCCACCCCGTCCCACGGTCGGTGCCGTGTCAGCGTACATTTTTTAATAAATGTCCCCTGAGTTACCTACCTTTCACAACATCATTTATGTCAATCAATTCAATTCAATTTATTTATTGCATTCTACAATATTATTATGAAAAATATTAATAATAAATAAAGTGGAGCACTACAGTTAGCAGCGAGGAGGGCGTCGTTTTTTAAATTCTCATAAAGATTTCAATAATTTCTATTTAAAAAATAAAATCTAACGATATTAAGTTTATTTTTATTAGTCTGATTGATAAGTTTATTTATTTTCACTTATTATATTTAATTAATTATTAATCCAAATATTTTTGTTGAAATTTAGTTTATAAATAAAGGCTATCTAATTTTAATTGCATCAATTTGATTCAATTCTAATTAAATTCCAAATGTTTGTGATCATGGCGCGTACTGTATAATACGAGTTGTACTTGCAATGTTGACATTAATCTGAAATATTCCCAATATCAAATACGCTAAATATAATGAGCCATTTATGATAACAATAATTGTCTAGTGCCAACTGTGGGTGGTATACGCGTACGTTGATGTTATTTACAATATAGTTCAACCATAATCTGTTATATTACGAGTACGGCGCACTACATTCATAATATGTATATAGTATATTTATTGATTTTTTTATTACATAACAACGTGTAGATATGAAGTAGCGGACAATATTAATAATACATTTATAGTCATTAAACACAGTCGGTACCGGTGGTATTATGTTAAATAAAGCTTCTAAAGCTTACTTAGCTATTCACAAAACAACATGCAGATGTCACATTTCGGCAGGAAGTGGTCAATTGATGAATCGACAACACCAACTGTACTGGATATTTATCTATCCTTCTTAAAAAATTCGTCTACTTAGTAAAAAACATTTTGAACTAGCCAATTACGAAATATAATTTTCAATTGATTTAATGGAAGCCCCTTTATATCCATAGGAATATTTTAATAATATTCCTATGATTTTTAGACACATCATATAGGTTTTTTTTTAAATAAACGGCTTGTTCTCATCACAATATTAGCGACTAGTTTTTACAATCGCAAACGAGTACCAGCCACACTTACTTATCGCTGATATTTCGTTTATCCTTTAATGTAAACGTATTTTACAGAGAGTTCCAATCTTTCTTTCTAAATAGTCTTCTGCGTTAGAAATTCAAGTTTTTTAAATTTCATGTCTATGAAACATCGTCGTTTATTCCTTTTAAAATAAAGTCACTTTTTGAGGCATGAAGAGTGTTTTTAGTTTTCATTTTTTTAGCATGTTTTACAAATTTATATAATATATAACACAATACCTAAAATAAATGAAAAAAAATCTATATTATAAATACATATAGTTTAGGTATCAGCAAATCTACACAGTATTTGTAGAGGCATATACTTATAGCATAGTTAAGTCTAATTCTGTGCTTTTCTAGTGAGAAAGGGTGCAAGCCAAGTGTTATTCATTTGTAGTGAAGGTGTCTTTATGAATAACAAAGACAGAGCGTATAAAGAGTTAACATTACCCAAGAGACTTTCGTTATATACTCGTAAGACTGGATTCGAATTAGAACGATTATTTTTTATAAAAAAAAAATAGTGCCAAAAGTAACAAGCCTCTAGCCCCGGATGCCGAATATTGTCTATTAATTTTCTTTCGAATGTTTTATTAAGTCAAAAAACCTTATTAATTAAATATTAAAAATTGTTAAACCCTCGTGCACCAAATTGTTTCTCTTTTTAGAAAGTCCAATTATGTCTGTTTTCACAGGTGACTGCAAAACGTAGATCAGTTTAATTGGGTACAATGAAACTATTTCTAAAACAATATGATATTAACAGCACCCTGCGTTTGAATCCTTTTCTAAAATATGTCAATTTAGGATATAACCCACATGTGTACCGATTTTTATTCAAATTTGCTTAGTAGTTTTTGCGTGAAAGAGTAACAAAAATCCATCTATAAATTGGTACATAGTTTTGCATTTATAATAATAACTGGATAGACGAAAACGAATGAGTACATATGACAGGAGGCACAAAATTACCACTAAACTTGTTATTAGTACATTCAATTATCATCTAATATGAGCGCTGGAAAAGAGCTAAAATAATAAAAAATACAATAGTTTATAGTAAAAAGTAGCCATTTTAAATTTTATCGTTCCTAGAGGTCACTAGAGGTCACTAAGTGTCACTTCATCGCATGGGGTTTACAATGTAGTGGTACAATGCGTCGCGGCGTCGATAGCAATACCGATACCATAATGACGCTATCATTGTAAATTCCAACGCTAGACGAGCACGTCTCGTATTTACGTAATTAATAGCAGGCGAGCTGATAGCGAGACTTTTTATAATTTATCTGCTTTTCTATACGTTATAGGCAGCCCTAATCTCGACAATGTTATATCACAAAATAAATATCAGTAAGTACGTGTTATTATATTTTTCCGGGTGCTAGTCTTTAGATTAGAAAAAAGCAGACAATATTTATCAGTTGATCTATTTGATATTGTTATCGGGACTTAGATTTCTAGTGGAAAGTAGTTGATTCGTTTCTGTAAAAACAAACTACCGGTGTGAATACGAACGAACACGACGAGACCCCAAAAATTAAGATATTAGCTTATAATTAGAACGAAATGCATTGAAACTGCTCAACGATGTTTAGAACCGATATCCGCGATTCGACGTGTTTGCCTCCAACTTGCTGAAGTTTCGTCGGATGACCACAGAGTGTCTGTGTTCAGAGATTTAAGACACAAATGTTATTATTGTTATATGATTTAAATGTAATTAATATTGTTCCATTTAACTATACTGTACTGATGCTTTCTTGGGTGAGCACATTGTAAAGCTCATTCAGTAGATGAAATAATAAAATAAATAAACTACCACAATAGTGAGAGCGGGCCGGCCCCTATAGGTAGCACCCCTCCACGAGTTTGACCAACGAGCCAGCCAATATAGTACTTACACATATTTTATGGTATTCAATAATCCCTCAATAAATATTCTCTATTCAAATCCGGGGAGTCATATCTTTATTATAATTTTACTGAGAGAATAAAATACTTAATCTCAAAAAGTACTTGGTCAATGAAGCTGAAATTTGACAACGTATTTTATGTAGGTTTTAGATATTTACAAAAAACTTAAATTTGGAAATAATTACGAAAATGGCAAGCTAACAAACGCGGCGGGAGGACACAGGTTTTTTGATAATGTTTATTTATTGAAAACATAGCAACCCTGTTTGCACGTACATTGTATTTTAGATAATAATTGAATTGAATTACCTACTACGGAATGCGTCTCCGATAACACTTGTATCACGACTTATGTCATGTGGTCGATCATTACACATGTCAAAACGATATCAGTACATACTCGCATTGTTATAATCTAACTCGAGTTATGTCCGCTTCATTGAATTATCAAGTAATGCGTTCACGACGCTTCAGTCGAATTTCACACCAGTGTAGCGGGTTCAAAACAAACCGTCTTTTAAACTGAACATTTCATTAACGGTCACGCTACGTAATACAACGAAGAGTGCTTGACATTGTGTGCACTGCGTGCCACATGTATAACATTATTTTTTATAGTTTTCGTCCATTTTTTTGTAGCAGTGACAGTTATACGTCATCATCATATATAATTTTAACTTTTCAGTGCAAATTTTAACTTTGAAGTTGCTATTAATTGATCATTGGTACTTCGAACGAGGCATGGCTGCATTGTCATGCACTTAAAAAATAAGCCAGTCGGGATATGTTGCTCATCGGGAAAGTGCAACTAACGAAAATTAAAACAGTACCTGAACCATTGCATGGCTTAACTATCGGTACGTGTCCAGATTCTATCATGTTCCTAAAGTCAATTCGCACATTCAATTTATGTTTCCAAATGACGTCTTTCGGAGCAACAGTAATAATTCAAAATATTTCTGCAAACGGTCAAAAATATAATTCCACGTTTCAAATCAAAAGCCAAGTTTATCACAAAGTGGGCTCATTGTTGCCAATGCAAATAAATCTCTTAAATTTTTACTTACCTTTATGGCTGGCAAGGACTCCAAACGCGCACTTGACGTGGATGTGCATCGAATGCCAGCAAGACGCAAAGTCGTCGAACAATCAAATTTAGAGTCATGCAGAGAGCACAAAGATCAGACCAGTAAATTCAACAAAACAGTACAGATAATGAAAAACGTTATCAAAGCCATCATTTTGAATGGCAAGTTCAGAAGCGAAAATGTATTGCTACCACGAATACCTATGATTCCTACAGATGTGCCAATTGAATTCAAACGCATTCAATTCCCAATTAGATTGGCATTCGCAATGATGATCAATAAGTCATAAGGCCGAACGTTGTCTAATTGTGGCTTAGATTTGGGTACACCATGCTTTTCCCACGGACAACTACATGTGGTATGTTGTCGCGTGGGGAAACCATCCAGATTGTTTGTATTGGCTAAAGGCGGACTGACCAAAAATATTGTACATTCCATTGCGCTGAGAGATTAATCTTTGTTTATTTTTTAATTGCCATAATTATTAGTAGAAAAATAAAAAAAAAACTATTATCGATGTATAGATAGCTATCATTAATTGTAATTTAATATGTATTTGTTGTTTTGAATAATTTATTAACTTAAGTATACTTTAATTGTTTATTCCTCTTTCAATTATAATTACATCCAAACACACTTATAGTGTTAGCTATTTTTGATTGAACTAAAACATCTATTTTCTAGAAATAACGTATATGGCAAAACAACGTTTGCAGGGTCAGCTAGTATTATACATATAGATCGAGTTCTCTGCCGAGGTTTCCTCTAGGAACTGCAATGTAGACTATAGGTAGAATTGCTCAATAGAGGCGCGTTGAGATTTCTTCAGGGTGTGTAACGGCCACGTGATGTTTCTGAAGTTACAGGCGAACACGGGCTACTGTAATTGTTTACCACCAAAAGAGAGTAAGCTTGTTTGCAAAAGTATTATGTAAATTATAGATGAGTACGGAACCCGTTGGAATCTTTAATTTCCATGTTGCTATCTTGTTACATGTAGAAGTGTTTTTTTTTATCGAACCCAAACTACGAATAGTTGTCATTGAAAACTAATACGTCTGTTATTTAACTATGTATCTTTTAGTTTTGCCTGTTTCGTCTCAGTAATTACTCGTATTATTTTTGCAGTTCGTCGAGCAATGTCAATAGGATTAGTTGTACTATCGCAACGTGTAGGTACTTGTGTTATCTGTAATTTTGTCAATACTTAGTTTAAATTTGTTTAATAATTAAATGTTATCACTTCTCAAGATCTACATTTTATGT